TAGCATTGGTGCCAGGCATGATGACAATATGTCCAGCGTGGGCATTTGCAGATCCTTAATTTAAGGTTATAAAGTCATAACAATCTTCGTTATGACCAATTGACCTATGACAGGTCATAAAGATCATATCGGCCAAAACTGCATCTAGGGAGCATCCTAAAGCGATCTAAATTTCTATTGGCTGATTCGAGAATCTTGATTCGGCCGGATTATAAAAACCGAGAATTTTTTAAAATATGGTTTCCATATATAATTATAAAGTTTCAAATAGAATAGCGTAATTTTTTAATCGTATAACGTCATTTTGCAGTTCTTTAATAACAAATATAGTAAATAATATAATCTTAAATATAATCAGTTGAATAAGAAATTTTTTTTAAAAATATATATATATATTTTAAAAAAAATTTCCGATAGTGCATTGTCATTATTTTTATTATACAGTTATAACATTAGAAATAATCAGAACAAGGAATTTTTTTTTCCATATCTACTTTGAAATAAAATCAGTAAAATCGGTAAAAAAAAAAAAAAAAAAAAAATCAATTAAAAGTTAAAATTGGTACAATCCGTAAAATCGGACAAGGCTAATAAAGGTAATAAATATACAGTAGTATTAAAAAAATGATGATATAATATGCTCGAGATAGCGTCATCTAATTCGCCGACATTAACCATATTTGAATTAAACCGATTTATAAAATAGGTGATAACAAAAAAAAAGGATTCATACATTTTTTTTTTAAATAAATAATAAGAGAGAATTAATTATAAAAAGTAAAAACATGTCATTAGTGTCATTTAGATAAAATTTTTTTTAAGATAAAAAAAGAAGAGATTTCCCAATTCACCCGCCAAATTTTAGCCTTTGCAAGTAATTTCAACAAACATAACAACAAAATAAGATAAAAGTAACTCACTCTTATCCGCAGTTTCTAACAGATAATGGTAATTAGATTTTCTGATCCTCAAAGATAGATGCTACACAACACAACCCGCGCACATGCATAGAGGTATTGTCAACAAGGTGTCACATGTAGAAGTTTTTTGTTGAAAAGAATGACGGCATATTGAGTACAGGGAATTCAAAAAGGGATTACAGAATACGCCGACGAAATGGCGCTAGAATCATCTAAACCGTTATTAAGATTGATTTATTTGGATGTAAACACGTACCAACCAAAAAAGAAAACAATTGGGTAAATATCCACGGGGCTTTCTACTCCGCATTCAGATGAATCCATTATTGGAATGTTCTTTGCATGATATTGATAGTTACAAAAATGAAAATTAAACCATGGTAAAGAACATAACTACGGGTAAAGAATTTGACTACAGTAAAGATTAACGTTTTAAAAATGATAAAATATTACATAAAAATGCATAAAGAAAGCCAAAGAATAATGACAATGCATAAAAGTTAACGTATGTACGGCCGCAGATAAGTTACACAGAGGAAGAATTTGTATGAACTGATATCATAACATAAATCATACCATAATTTTTCCCCCAACGAAAAGGAATAAAAAAAATTTTTTTATTTCTCTGAATAGATATTGTGACGCAACATACACCTGGGTATCACGAAGAGATTAACCTAATTTGCTAGAAATCGATTGTTAAAAAAAAAAGGCCCCTACAAATCCATGATATCATATCAAAACAGTCATATTCTAGACCTTGGCAACAGTTCACAAGTTGATAAAATCCGTGAATCGACAGAGATTTTAGCCTCTGTATCACTAAATTCGCCGGTTGGTGTTATTTTTTTAACAAGTTCAAAAACCTGAAACAGATTTACCATGTGAATATATACTGAATATATATTGAATATATTGAATATATGCCGAATGTATTCAATTTTTTTTTCACTATTATTCCGAAAAAAAAAAAAAAAATTTTTTATTACTCATAAAGAATTCCGATTGTAGGCTGACAAAAAAAATTTATACACAGTAAACAAACTAAACAGTAAGGTACTCTGTATACCCTTAATAGTATAACTTTAAATAGTGTAACTTTAAAATGATATAACTTTAAATAGTATAACTTTTAATAACAGATAACATAATAATAAGTATGTCTGTACGTACGTATGTACTGTACCAGGTATGCATATACTTAATATATATAACTGATAGTATTTGACAACGGTATAACTTTACACTGATAACATAGTACAATAGTAAGACTTAACATTTTAGTTAACGTACGTATAACGATAACGCTAATAACGGTATAACGCTAGCAGTATAAACACTAAAAAAACGTAAAGGTATAATTAATTAAAAAAGGAATATTATTAAAAGGAATATTATTAAAAGGAATATTATTAAAAGGAATATTATTAAAAGGAATAGACTAACGAAATAGAGTAGGTAATGAATGAATGAGAAAAAAATAAAAATATTAAAAATATTACGGAAAATGAAAATTATTGAGAACTTTCCGACTGGTATAACTGTTATAATCAGTTATAAACGCTAGTCAGTGCCTGCATCGGAATTTTAATGTGAATTCTCGTAAATGACTTGATTGATAAGGTTCGATCGTATTCCCCCATGTACAACCGAAAAAACCTCCTTATGGTACCACCGTTAACCTTCACAAACTCAAAGAAGGAATGTCGGAGGAAAAAAAAAAAAAAAACGTAATGTCATTATTCAAGCATTATAAATAATAATAATCAATCTTATTTAATTAAATTAATGTTATCAAATTAATAATTCTTTTAATTGATAACAGATAAAGCAATAATGTATTTATATGTTACATTTATCTGTTGTGAGATTCCTATACACACGCTGCTTTTTTCACACTTATGATTAATGTGCGGAAATTAAAAAATTCTTTATTGTCATACATTCATTACATTCAAAAAAGAGTGTCATGCTATTATGCATTAAATATAAATTCTTATGAGTGATTATCACAAAAAATCATTTGACCAAACAACTCTTTAATCGATTGGTCGTACGAAAAAATTCGGTACATTATTTTTCTTTTCCGATATGCAAGCCATAATTGCATAAGAGGAAATTTTCATTACGTTATTTATTTAAATATTTAAATTGATTTACATTTAATTGAATTTTTAATTTTTAATTGAATTTATTATTATTATTTTTTTATTGTGTTTGTTCTAGATCCCTGGGTTGTGTTGATCTATTTTTCATTAATGTAGTGTTTCCTAAAAGTTTACTCAATTTTTCATGTAAATTTATTATTATTATTATTAATTCTCTATTTCAATATATAATTTTAGCATATAGTTTATATATAGTTTATATATATAGTTATATAATTTTCACTATTTCAATATATAATTTCAGCATACAATTTTCACTATATGCCAATAATATCACAAATTTAATTAGAGTTTAATAGTTTAATATATGTACAGTATATATCAGATATATATATCAATATACAGTATCAATATACAGTATCAGTATACACAATCAATATATATCAATATACAGTATTAGTGTACACAATCAATATACAGTGTACATCAATATAAATGCAGATTTTACCCTTTTTACAGTATTTTAAATGCTTAGTTTATTGATTAGTTTAATGCGCATCATTTACCGTTTACTGTAATCAAAATTTTCTTGGCAAGGATATACTTTAATCCATTTGACATAATATGAATGATTTGATCAATTTTACCTAATTGGTCAACTTTTCGTTCCGTATTGTCTTCTATCATGAAATTTGACATGAATTCAAACTCGTCGATTCTTTTTGGAATCGTCCAGACTTACCAATGTAAAACGATTGTAAATTCCTTTTTAAGGTTTGCTGTTATGTTTAAATCCGGATCTATAATTTTGATTCTCTATGATATTTCTCCGATTCACATCTTAAAAGAATTTTTATTTTAATTTTTCCGATATTATAATTTTCGATTATCCCTTCTCTTTCATGCACGTGGGTCTACCTACAGTAACTAAAAGTCAAGTCCGTATGTACATATTCTTCGGAAAAATGTAGTTTTTATCTTTATTTTTGATTTATAACCTGTCATATTCTAGCATACCCTGGAATATTTCGGTCTTATTTTATTTATTTTTTTTTGTCATATTCTCCATATTATATGAATATAATATTTAAATGAATTCCGAATGTTTGTTTATGCAAAAGACTCGACCATCGTGATCTGTAGCCGTCTCCGGTTGTTTCCTTACAATATATGTATATATGTATTGTTTATTTGAAAAAAAATATTCCTTTTTGCCGCAAAATGCTCCGTTGTTGTGATAAGCCTCATGGTGCTAATTTCTAATTCAATCTACTCATTTTGCATGATGACGATACTTTAGGTATCACTATCTGATCATCTTGGTCACAAATGAACTAGCTTTATCACAATCAAAACCATCCGAATTTATTACCTATTTTTTTTTCTTTTAAATGTTTCATTTTAAAATATTATAAATGAATACCGTATATGCTAGTTAATGCGTTAGTGGCTTTTATACTATTTTTGAATTAATCGGTGTAACATTTAAAATTTTTAATTGTATTGAACAACACTCACCTTACCTTTTTCTTTCCGTAAGCGTTAGTATGTATACCATCTAAATACTGTAATATATATATATTTATTTTTTTTTATGGTACTGTATAACATAAAAAAAAAACCCGTACTTTAAAAAAAAAAAAAAAAAACATATTTTGTTATAATTTTTATTTGGTGTGATTTTTTTTTTTTTTTTTTTTCGATAAACAGTATATCATCACGTTTATCGCCTTCCTTTATCCTTTACCCTGTTTTTTTTTCTCCGTTTATTAAATCTTTCTATAAATCTTTTATATTAGTTTATTCTTTCTTAAATTTTCAAGTCATATAAAAATATCGCCCGGTCCTTTTTTTTCCCTTAAAAAAAAAAAAATAAAAATAAAAAAAGTATAAATAAATAAATAATTCAATTATAAATAATTATATAAAGTAATTATTTTTCTTACACATTTATATAAGTGTAAGAATAAGCATGAGCACACCGTTACAAGTTGAGCGACAACTTCCGTCTTTATCACATTCCTCTTATTCATTTAGTGAACAACAACACTCAGCGTCTTTAACAAACGTTGAACAGCCTCAAAATCTTTTTGGACACATGCCTTCTCAATCTTCATGTTCTACTCCTTATTCTTCTCCTTCTTCAAGAATTCGGACTGTTGCTGATTCTGATTCCACAAAACAATCGGGTACTAGTAGTACTATGAGATTGGCAAATACAAGCTTAGGTACCGACGATAACGGAAGTGCCGTTATGAAACGAACTAACAAAACTCATGTTCCAAGTGCTTGTGTAAATTGCAAAAGAGCACACCTTGCTTGTGACGGTTAGTCATTCAATTTTTAATTTTATTATAATTAATAATTATAATTTCTATTTTTTAACTTTGATCTAAAGAAATCAAGTCGGAGTTTAATGATCTCTCCTATCTTGATCTTTGATTCTACTTTTGATCCTAACCTCAATTCTATTTTATCCTGATTATCCGAATGTTAATCATTCTTTATTACTTTATATACTTTATATACTTTATATACTCTATATCATTAAACTTTTTGCCATTTTGATCGGGATATTTTCTTTATCGGAGAATTTTAAAGTTTGAGATCTGTTGTTAATCTCCGAATCATAATCTTTTGGAGAAATTATTTCGACTTTATTTCTTTATTTCAATTTTTTAAAATTTCATTTTTTGAAATTAATTTATTTTAATTAATTTTATTTTAACTTTTTTGCTTTCTTTATAATTAGTGTCGAGACCTTGTAAACGATGTGTTGCTCTTAATAAAGTTGATACTTGTATCGACATTAAACACAAGAAACGCGGACGTCCAAAATTGAAGGATAAAAAGCCTCATCCATACAATACTCATGCTACTGGTGACGCGAAAACTTGGGTATCGAGTACACAATTTCTTCCTCCAACTACTACAAATCCTGCTATTCCTTCTCCTCGAAATCCGCGTCAATTTGATCCTTCTTCTTCTCAAAATCATCAGCATTCTTTTACTTCTTTTGCTCCTTCCCCTCCTTATTATCGTTCTCCTCCTGCAAGACATCATCATATACCTTTTAATCATCCTCCTTTCATCAATCAATCTTCTACAAGATCTCAAATTCCTTTATCAGAAATTTCTCCTACTATTACTATGTTCTTGACTACTGCTGGTGCTCATTGTGCTAAAGCTTCTGATGAATGTCTAGTTAATATGGGTTATTATCCTTATGAACTTGTTCATAAATCTCTATATGAATACGTTCCTCCTCCTGATTGTGAAAGGTTACAGAAACTTATTGATTCTTTACTGGAGAATGCTCATAGATATCATCATACTCTTCAATCTACTCATCAATACACTTATCAACCTCCTTCCTTTGATCATCCTGTTACTTCTGATGATCCCGGTTTTTGTCATGCAACTCCTGAACAATTACAAATTCCTGCTTATGGTACTCTTATTGAAGCTGCTGATATGATTCATTTAAAACAAAGGAATGGTCAATATGATTTATATAATGTTAAAACTTATCTCGGCGGTGGTCTTGGTGCTGATTTGACGCGAAAAGATACTTGGTCCAAATTATATATTGTGGCTTTTTTCACTAGAGTTAAAACTGGTGCTTGCGTACAAAATGATTGTAGTATTTATACTCAATCTAGAATTAGTAATATTAACAATATTAATGGCGCTGTCAATAGTTTTTCAACTTTGAACACTCCATCTACCATCACCACTATTGATCCTGCTCTGCTTACGATGAATCACCCATCGAATGATAATGTTTCCTCAAGTATAGGTACTGGAAAATTTGGTCTTTTAAGTCCTGTATTATCACCAAGACAAGGCTTATCAGAATTAAATCCATCATCTATATATATTGAAGCTCCACCACCACCATCAAATCCTCAAAATTCTACCGATTTTCATTCTCATCAAAGAACTTCTCATTATTCAACTTCATATACTTCAGTCAATCAAAATATTCCAAGATCTGATTCACCATCTCAATCTTCTTCATCAGTCTTACTTGATAGACGATCTTTATCAAGTAGATCTTCGAATAATAATTCATTTTATCATGAAATGGATACAAAACCTATTTTAGACTCTTCATTTGAGCATAATCAACTTGATCGTTCATTACAATATCATCACATACCTGCGAATAATGATGTTTCACAGTCAACTCCTCAATTCTCAAATGATGGACATAAAAGTATCATTTCAAGAGATTCCGAGTCTCGTGTAAACCCTCTTGGAACTGAATCAGATTCTACTTCTGTTGCTAGGATGAGTGTAAATTCATTACTATGTTAAGGTTAACGAGTTTGTTTTTAATAATCCATGTTACTTTTTCCGTACTATTATTTTTTTTCTTCGCTTTATATGTTTTTTAAGAGATTCATTTAAAGATAAAATATAGTATGGGAATTCTTTAAAGGGCATTTATTTGGGGTTTCAATGCATTCATCGGGCATTTTTGTTATACATATATGCACACCTTTCTTTTATACATA